CTGAAAGCCCAGGCAATTTACGGTCACGTCACGGAAGGTCAGGAGCATGTCAGACCTTCCCTCCCGGCTGGGAAGGGAAGTTTCAAAAGGTGATGCGGTGTGAAAAAATGTGAGAGCTGCAGGTGCGGCCGCAGCTTCTGCACATCAAGAGGCTGCCTCCTGTTTAGTTCATTGATTGATGGGTTTGAGAGGCAGAGAGATGGAGACAGACAGAGCTGCCACCTGCCAGTTCATTTCCTAAATGCCGACCATGGCCGGGCGTGGGCTGAGGCCAGGAGCTCAATCCAGGTCTCCCGCGTGGGTAGCAGGATCGCAGGTTCTAGAGCCGTCAGCTGCTGCCTCCCACAATCTGCTTTGGCAGGGAAAGGAGCTGAGAATGGAACCCAGGTACCTCGATAGGAGTCGCTGGCTTCTTAACTGGTTTCCTAACCGCTAACCCGCATGCCCATCTGGTATGGTCACTTTATAAATACTTGCTAAGTGTCACACAGGAAAGGGTTAGCACAGAGCAGCTTTTCGGCACTGAGGAGACTTGCTGGCTTGACAATATTGCCAAACAAACCTATACCATCGAGTGTTGTCCGCAGCCCCAGGCTTTAAATAACTCAGAGACCGTGAACTTCATTATTTGTAAGAAAAATGCACTAACTGAGGTGTCTTTAAACACAGAGCAAGGTTATGTGTTGACTGGTTTATGAAAATGTTGCCACCAGAAGCCAAAGAAACTTAACCTTGGATTTGCTTGAATGAGCCCCCACCTGCTGACGGAGTGTCTTGGTGACGTTTTAGAATCCAGCTCCTTTGAATCCCGAGGGTGAACACGGTGTATGTGTGTGTTTGGTATGTGGTAAAGCTGTCATCGGAGATTAATGGGAAAAGGACAGATTATTTAGTAAGCAGTGGTGAGACAATGGATTCACCGTATGAAAAAAAAATAACAGCTCTCTATTTAGTAATTTATAAAAATGGATCTCGTGGGGATTAAAGACTTTGAATAGGTATTTCCCAAAGATACACGAAGAGCAAATGAACCCAGGAAAACGGTGCTCAACACTGTCAGTCATCAGGGAGTTGCACATGAAAGACATGACCAGGGGCTGGGTTTTGTGGTGCATTGGTTAAGAAACTGCTTGGGAGGCCACTGTCGTGGTGCAGTGGTTTAAGCTGTCGCCTGCTACACTGGCATCCCATATGGGCAATGGTTTGAGTCCTAGATGCTCCACTTCTGAGCCCGCTCCCTACTAATGTGCCCAGGAAAGCAGCGGAAGATGGTCCAGGTGCTGGGCCCCCGCAGCCGTGTGGGAGATCCCGAAGAAGCTCCTGGCTCCTCGATTCAGGCTGGCCCAGCCCTGGTCATTGTGGCCATTTGGGAAGTGAGCCAAAGGATGGAAGATATCTCTGTGAGTGTGTGTGTGTGTGCATGTGTGTGTGTAACTCTACCTTTCAAATAAATAAATCTTAAAGGGAGGGGGCAACCACTTGCCCCAATTCCATACAGATGAAATGCATGGGTTTAAGTCCTCACTATGAGCCAGCTTCATGCTAATGGGACCCTGGAAGGCAGCAGGCAGGCAGCGGGCAGTGGCTCAAGTACTTAGAAAATGAACATATATAAGCAAATGTTTTTAAAAAGCTCACAGAAATGTCCGCTAATAGGCACGTAAACCACACCTTAGGAGGAAAAACCAGAGAGAGCGAGAGAGAGAGAGAAAGAGATTCACCTTAAAGAAGCATCAAACTCCAAGGTACTAAAGGACTTCGGCCTGTCTCTAACAGATCTGGGGCTGCCAACCCGCACCTGCACCTGTATCCAGCCACTTCCTGCATCAGCCAGGCCTTTGTGGGCCAACCCAAGAACCTTAGACACCCACTAGTGGAGCCTCGTTTCTATGGGCAATAACCCAATCCCCAAGTACATTCGGGGAGGACTCTGTGTGGGTACCTTGGAGCCAGTTGTTCCCTTGCAGGCTGCAAAAGGGGCCAGGGGCAGACAGGCGGGCAGGGCAGGGCTGGGCTGAGTCCCACCCAACCCTGCTGTGCCTGGGAGAGACACTGTGAGGCCACACGTCTGGAATCCCAAACAAACCATGCACGGCAAGGGGGCTGCCTCCTCCTCCTCCTGCTCTCCCACCCTCTTCCCTCCAGTAGCCTGGTGCCTCCTCTTGGGAAGCTACATGCACACCCTTCCAGAACAAGCTACAAAGCCTGGTGCAAGGACTTCTCCCAGGACTTGATCTTTATCAGGGCAAGAAGCCTCAGCCCACACCAAAACCTCGTGTTTCACAGCTCCAGGAGTGGGGTTTAGCACGGGGGTGCTGCTGGCGCATCTGAATTCATTAGACAGGTGTGGGTGGACCTTGCACCTCAAGCCTACTGTCACAGCCCATTAAAACCAGCTGAGTTTCTTTACTGGTGCACTATTAGCAAGGGAATCCCCAGGGCACCGGGGTTAAGATGTCTCTTGGACCATCGACATCCTATATCACAGAGCACCTGGTTTGAGTCCTGGCTCCGCTTCTGATCCGGCTTCCAGCTAATGTGCTGGATGGGAGGCAGCAGGTAATGGCTCCAGTCCTTGCCACTCATATGGAAGACCTGGATGGAGCTTTGGCCTGGTCCAGTCCCGCCTCTTGCAAGTATCTGAGGAATAAACCAGTAGACAGAACATCTCTCTCTTTCTCCATTGCTATCTCTCTCAAATAAAATGAAAATAAAGAAACATTAAACAAAGGAAAGGGTTTCCTTGTCGGAGTAACCCAGGCCAGCATCCCAGCCTGTAGGGGCATATGGAGTTTCCTAAGACCAGAGCGTCTGGATCCCAGCATAGCTCAAATGCCTGAGCCCTGGGGCTCAGTGGAGCGGCCACAACACGGCGTATCTTAGGGCCACGTCTCGGCAGGACCCTCACCAAGGTCCTGCCGACCAGTCGCTCCACCCAGAGGACGAGGACCAGGTGGCCGTGATGTCACTCCCTGGCACAAGCTGCTTCGTCGAGTTCCAGGGGGCTTCCGAGATCACCCCCAGAGGCTGAGGCTCCTGCTGGCTCCACCACAGGCCTTGCCACAGATCCCGCAGCCTGCAGCCAGCGTGTCAGGCCCCAGGAGCCCTCATCCTTTGGCCTAAAATGGCCCCTGCCTATACCTCCTTCCTATGCATCTTGTCTCACACAGCTGCCAGTGGTCCTCCGGGGAACTCAACACGACCCAGGGAGGCTGCCCCCATCTCGTCTCCTGCTGGGGACGGCCAGCTGCGAACATGCATCAGGAAGCAGCCCCCAAACCAGGGATTGCCATCGGGGTCCAGAGACAAAAGGGGCCTCTCTCCATTGTGCAGGTGCACAGGACCCCCCCTCGGGGGCTTATGTGTGGCTCCAGGGACTTTGCAAAGGGCACACCGAATAATTAGCAGGCCACTGGGAGCAGGTGGGCAGCTCTGATCTGCTCCCACGAACAGGCAGTCTTGCGCTCAGGTTAGGATGCCCACAGTGGAGAATTCCCAGGAACTCTCTCTCCCTCCTGGGTCCTCCCTTAGCTGTGTGATCCTGAGCTCTTTGGGTGCGTACAACGGTCACGGGAGAAGTGGGATCCTACAGGCTTTGCCTCGGGCCCTCCCTAGCGTCTGTCTGTAGCTAAAGGCTTAGGAAGGCCTTGGGGTGTCTGGGCCAGCAGACTGATGGCAAAGAAAAAAAAAAAAGCAAGCGCAGGGGGTTTTTGAATGAAATCACCTGATGATGAGTCACCGGCTGCAGCTGAGTCACTGCCAAGGCCTCCCTGGGCTGCAGAGTGACAGCCATGGGAGGGTTTTCATGTGAGCAACGCTGGAGCCTCTGCAAGCCGGGCTGGCACTCAGCAGGAGCAGCTGTGGCTTATGCTCTCTCTCCCACCCCATCCCCAATCATACACCCCACGTTCAAGCCGGGGAGGCTTCAAGCCATATCGTGCCCCAGCTACCCCAGCCCCTAGGAGGGCCAAGGCCAGCCCCAAAGCTCAGTCGGTCCCATGCAACAACTGGCAGGGCCTGCTGGGGTGCGGCGGGTGAGGCTGCTCTCTGCAAAGCCGACATCTCAGAGCCGAGTGCCGGGTGCAATCCCGTGCTCATGGGGCACAAACACGCGGGTCCCTCGGCTTCCTCCAGTGCTCACCACAAGGGAGCCACAGGGCAACCTCCCAGGGGCGCGGGCCTGGAGGACTCCAGGTCATCCTCACTGTGGACAACAAGAGGCCTGCGAATTGCAGCGGCAGCTCCCACGGTCAAGGCCGAGGGGAGGGGTCACGCCAGGAAAGGGCATGAGGCTGTGGGCGCCTGCCCGCGTCCCACGCGCGAGCGTGACAAGCCCCACCAGCAGAGAGACTCCCTCCCTCCTACTTTCATTTCCCCAGGGAACCGTGATGGAGTTGGGTCAGGCTGTCCGGATTCGGCCCTGTCCCTGCGCATATCTTCAGCTTGGTTTGCGCCATCTCGGGAGGCGCCCTGAGGTCGTTCTGTTTGGTCCACTGAATTTTTTCCCAGCCCCAGTCACAGCCCAGGGCTGCCGGCCCCGGGGGGGACAATGACTCAAAGGGGAACAAGTCGATTCGGATTTTTTTTTCCCCTCTCCCTCTTTCTCTCTCTGTGGGGCAAACCTAGAAAGATGGCCGCAGCCGTCAGAGAGCAGAGGATGCCGGGAGCTCCAGAGGGGGGCGGGGCGCCGCCGATCTCCCAGACGCCCTCGCGCGCGGTCCCTAGCTACATCCGGGCTTTTCCCTCTGTGTGTCAACGCAGCGTTGCCTCTGCTGCAGCTCCCGCCATGAGCTCCGCTTTCGTGCCCAAGGAACCGGGGCGCAGTGCGCTCAGGGCACCACCAGGGACATGTCAGAAACGTCCGTCCTCCCCCTCCCAGCTGGGCCACCGTGACGTTTGCACAGAATCGGGGAGATAGTAACACTGGTTGAGAACCCCGCCTCGCCAGGCTCCGTGCCAGGGCACGAAATGGGCTCAATTTGATTGCAGGTAACAAATGGACCTGCTCACCCCTCCGCGCTCCGGCCGCGGGCTGGGCAGCCCCCACCCAGAACCCTCTGGAGCCCCCAGGAGACCACCCTGTTGTTTGTTGACCTTGGCAACTGTTGCCAGAGCCCGGGGTTGTGAACCCCAGGCCGAGGAGCGTGGCGCTGGTGGAGAGCCCCAGGCAGCATCCCGGGCCCGGGACTCCCTGCTGCTGTCCCCTGCGCCCACCTGGCGCCTGATGCGACCTGCAGCTTCCCTTCCCGGGTGGCCCTTGAGCTGTGGCCACCCTCGGTGTCTGGCCACAACGGGTCCTGTGTCCCGGGGCGTGGTCCCTCCTGGCCTGGGGTCTGGCTGGGAACCCACCATCTCACTGCGTTGGCCCAGTGCCATTTATCTAGCACTTTCCAAGAGCCAGCCTCTGCCCGCTGCTGGGGATGAGACACAGGCCCCTAGGTACCCCCCAGTCCTGGCGGCACCTACACCAGGCTCGGTGGGCATGGGGGTGGGCGGCGCCTCCCGCCCCGAGGACGGAATCTTTCAGTGGAAGCCAGGGAATGGCGAAGGGCCAGCAGGTGCCTGGAGCCACCCGAACACCCAACACTGACATGGGGTGGAGTCAGCCAGGCCGACCCCCAGGGCTCCCCTCTCCCCGCAGAGAAAGAAGGGGTGCAGGCAGGTGAGCACTGGGTTTGTAGGAGGAAGAAGCAGGGCAGGACTGCGTCGGGGTTGGGGGGGGGATCTCCTGGGGACCCAGGAAGTGGGGAGAGGCAGAGGGGGCGGCCGGCCCCAGGGGCACTGCGCCCTGCTCCCCAGTGCAGCGAGCCTCAGCCTGTGCCTCCTGCTGCCTGTGGGCGTGGGGCCCTGCGGGGAGCAGGGGTGAGGCTCTGGGAGCCAGGAGAGGTGAGTCCTCGCCACACACAGCCTCTAGCTCCCTCCGCCTCCTCTCCACAGCGTGCAGGTCGCTGCTCAGGCATTTACAATGGACAATTTGCTCTCAAGGTAGAAGAGAATACAGGCCCTCCATCCTGTGAAATCCCTACCGTGAGCTATGACACTGCTCAAATGGAAAAGGCTAGAGCCACACAGGTTCATTATGTACTGGAAACAAGCGCCTTGTGGGAAGTAACTATTTCTAGAATGATCTCAGTTTTGTTAAAAACTGGAAAGGGAAACAAAGATTTTTTTTAGAGAAAGATTTACTTATTTTATTTGAAAGGCAGAGATACAGAGAGATTCAGAAAGAGAGAGAGAGAGAGAGAGAGAGAGAGAGCGAGCTTCCACCTGCTGGCTCACCCCCCCCCCCCCAGTTGGCTGCAAGAGCCAGAGCTGAGCCAATCTGAAGCCAGGAGCTTTTCCTTTCTGGAAGGAAAGACAGATCCGAGGTGAGTTTTGGCAAGAACTGAGTTTTAACTCCGCACTGAACCCCAAGGCTGCAGTTTCACCCTGTTCTCTGCAAGGTATGGACTTCGCTTCCAGAGAGGGGAGCCAAGCTCCATCGTCAGACAGACAGGCAGGCAGAAGCCCAGAATCCAGACTCGCTCTTCCTCACCTTGCCGGACCCCCTCCATTGCCAACATCGGCCACAGACTCAGGTTTGGTGTCAAACTTCCGAATTCTCTGGAAAAAAAATCTGATGGACTCGGCATCAGCTGCTGCCCTCAGGGTCTTGTGCCATCCCCACGTAGACTCTGGGGCTCTTCTCCAAGAGCTGTCCAAGAGCTGAAAGACAAATGTCAAATCCCTGCCAGTCAGGCAGCCCAGGGGCTGCCCTGGGGGAGGGGGCGGGAGGAGCCCCATTCCTCGGTGCAGATGGACAGGGAGATGTCGAGAGTCACAGACAGGCCCTTCCCTCTCCTGCTGCCATGGGCGGGCGGCTTCTAGAAGGCACCCAGTGGGCAAAGGCGTGGAGCAAAAAGGAACAGTATGCAACTCGATTGATTGTGTACACAGGGGCTGTGCTGGTGACAACTGCGCCAGGTCTGTCTCTCAAAACGCAAGCTAATGGCTCTCAAGGAGATGAGGATGATATATTTTAAAAACATTTGAAATGTACAATCGATGACTATGCTAATCACAAAGCACACTTAATCCTGACAGCGAGCCTAACAAGAATTCATTAGCCACTGGATCTTCCGTCCGTTGCTTGCAAGTGGGAAGACATATTTCATTTGGAAACTTTCTCACTTGGTCTTATCACTAAAGGGAGGGAGGTTGGCCTCCTTTCCTCTTCCAGTTAAGCCAGGTTGCTGAGAGTAATCCTGGCCCTTAATCGGACCACCCCTTAGAGGTCTCATTGGAAAACGGGCCCGAGTGTAGGTGGGAAGGGAGGAGCAAACCTGGGTGTTTGTAACATCCTGTTCTCAGGGCTCCACCCATCAATAGGGTTGCCTTTCTTGGTGCTCATGCACTTGGATTTTGGCTAGGTCAGTGCATGATGAGAAAACCCAGCAATCACAAGAACACAGCCCACTGCCACCTGAGGGCTCAGGGCTCCAGGTTCCACTGTAAGGGCTGGAGAGGTCAGACCCACTGAAGGACGTTCCCTTCCCCACTTTGCTTCTCAGCAGAGCCCGGGCTGTGGCGGTTTCCTGTTGTGCAGATGACCAGGAAGACAACGGCTAGAGCAACAGGCACGTGGAATCCAACCTTCTGTTCAGTCTCACAAGGTTGGGATCAAGGTCACCGGCTGAGCCACCTTCTCCTCTGGAGGCTTGACTGGGGAAGAATCTGCTTCCTGACTTGTTGAGGTTGGTGGCAGAATTTATTTCTCTGGGATTGTATCACTGGCTATTTCTGCCTGTTGGCCGGAGGCCACCTACGTGTCCTAGAGATGCAACACAGTTCCTTGAAATGTGAGCTTCTTCAACGTGGCCCTACCTTTCACGAAGCTCACCCTAGTCTTCTAGAATAAAGCCTTATAAAATATAAACTGGGAGCTAGCTATGACAGTGACATCCATTAACATTGTCATATCCCACTATATACAGGTCCCACTTGGGCTGGAGGAGAAGGGGTTACACAAATTCATGGGCATCTGGGAAGAGGAATCATAAAGACACCCCTGAGAGTCGCCCCAACACATGGTCTTTGGAATTGCTCTTGAACAAAGTCCACAAAAGTACTCTTTGAGAATCTGGAGACGAGATTGCAATAGGAGAAAGAGAGGCAGGGTGCAGTGTGGGAAAATAAAATAGCTAAGCGACACATGGCAAGGCCCTCTGAACTCACCTTCCCCCAACCCTACTCAAACACAGCACACTGGCTTAGTCAAAGGGGGCTGGTATAGACCAAGATTTTGGTTTGCTTTTTGTGCAAAGAATCACAGCCCAACAGACCTCAAGAGGTATTCATTATCTCTTTCAGGGAGATGCTAAGAATTGAGGGGAATGCAAACCAACACAGGTGGTGATGCTCACGCCCCACCAGGAAGGCCACACAAAGAACTACACCCTGGGGACACAAACACATGGCGGTTTTGCCTTTTAGGGGGAGAAATGCCTTGGTGTTAGGAAGTAAAAGGGGTCAAGACTGCCCTAGGATGCTGGGTTAGGATTGAGATAGACTAGAAGCAGAGAGAGACCATTGTGGGGATGTCTCTTGAGAGCATTAACTGGCTGCAGTGGAAGATGATGCTGGAGGGGAAAGTTGACATTAGATTATAAATTGGAAGAAATTTAGATTTTACCCTGTATAGGCAATGGAAGCAGACTAAAATATCATGTAGACAATAATAACTATCAAAATCCTGCTTTGGACAAAATATGGCTGTGAGGACAGAATTATTATTCATTTCCTTACAAATAAGTTTTTGCCAAATCTAAAATTCTTGGTTGACAATTTTTTTCTCAGCACTCTAAATAAATGATACCATGACTATCTGCCCCCCCCATGGCTTCTGATAAGAAATTGGCTGGTTATCTCATTAAGGGGCCTAAGTATGTGATGAGTCACTTTTCTCTCGGTAATTTTTAGATTCTCTTTGTTGTCTTTGGGTTTTGACTGCTTGAGTGTTACATGTCTCAGGGAGTCCCTTTGAGTTTATCATACTTGTAGTTTGTTGAGCTTCTTGGATTTGTGGGTTTATGTCTTTCCTCTAATTTGAGGAGTTTGGGACCTTTATTTCTCCAAATAACTTTACCTGAGCCTTTCTTCTCTCCTTCTGTGACTTCCATGAAGTAGGTTCACTCCTTGGTGTTCCATAATCTCCTAGTATTGTGTGTACTTTCCTTCATTCTTTTGCATCCCAGGCTTAATACGTTCAACTCTGCTGTCTTCAAATCTGTAGTTCTTTCTTCTGCCTGCTCCAGTGTGCTCTTGCACCTTGCTAGTGCATTCTTCATTTCAGTCATTGCGTTTTCCAGCGCCAGAATTTCTCTGTCTCTATAATTCCTGTATCTCGGTCGATAGTCTCATTTCTTCAAGTACTGCTTTCCTGATTTCGCTTAGCTCTTAGCACAATGTTTCAGACACTTGTTTTGAGGTCTTTTTCTGGTGATGCTGATGCTGGCCTTCCACAGGACAGCCTGCGTTAATGAATGCTCCTCTGATGAACCGTGTGTTTATGCTTCTTTGTAGGCTGTAGGTTTTGTTGCCATTGTTGATAATTTAGGGGTGAGGCTTGTGGCACAGTACTTAAGCTGCATCCCTTGTCGGAGTGCCTGAGATGAAGCCCTGCCTCTGCTTCTGATCCAGCTTCCTGCTAAGGCACACTCAGGGAGGCAGAAGTTGATCATTCAAGCACCTGGGGCCCTGTCACCCACATGCAATACCCAGGTGGAGGTCCTGGCTCCTGGCTTCAGCCTGGTCCGCCCCTGGCTTTTGCAGGCATTTTGGAGAGTGAATGTAGATGGAAATTTTCTCTCTCTCTCTCTCCCTCCCTCTCTCCCCCCTTTCTCCCTCATCCCTTTCCCCCTCCCCCTCATCCCTTTCCTCCTCCCCCCTCCCTCTCTCAGCCCCCTTTCAAATAAATAAAAATAAACTTTAAAAAAATTGCATATTTTATCATTATAATGTAGTAACTCTACAAACCAAAGTTACCCTCTTCCCTGAGGTTTATTTTTGTGCCTTGTAGATAATGAGGTAGAAATTGCTTCCGAGCTGTTGCAGTAACACAGATCATAGAGGGTAGTTATTCCAACCTAGATGGTGACTGAGAATAGAAAAAGATGTGAATGGAACAATTAAGAGTTGAAGACAAATGTTGGAGCTTGGTTGGATTGGACTGAGGGTTGAAGAAACAGAAGGAGACATAAATGGTTCCCAGGTTTCTAACTTGAGCCACTGGTGGGTTGCGGTGCTATTTATTGAAATAATCTCAGGAGTTGTTGGTGCCCTGCCCAGATCGCTTCCCAGGCCAGGATATTCATCTGCCAACAGGCAGGGCATGCCCTGGGCCAAACAGGAGCAGGGGCAGCCTCCCCCCGGAGGGCACACCCCACCCCCACTCCAGCACCCTGGCAGCCAATGACCCTCTGACAGCCAGGGACGAAAGCCTGGCTCCTGGGCTTTGACACTGCCACGCTCCAGGGCGCCCCACAGGACCAAGCTGAATCTGGGCTACAGAGGGGTTTTCCTCCCTGCTGAGGCCCTCGCCCTGGCCTCTCCTGCTCCCCTGCCTCCCTTGCTCCTGAGAGCACTCCCTCCTCTCTGCTGTCGGGAAACACACCCTCAGGCGGTTGGTACCCAGAGCTGCTACTCAGAGAAAGCCTGCAGAGGCGATCCTGCCCTCAGCCCCGTGCCTGCTCCCTGGCCACATGGAGCCCATGCTTGGCGTGACGATCAGAAACACTCTCCCACCCTCGCCAGGCAGCTGGTGGACACACGTCTGTGCACCCCACCTGAAACCTGAAACCGACCCTGCTGCTAAGCGGGGCATCCAGGATCTGAGCTCCAGGGAGATGGGTGAAGCCCTTCAGCTAAACAGAACCCTCTGGGCCAGAAAGGGACAGCTGGGGGGTCCCCAACACCGGTCCAAGCACAGCCCCAGGAGCCAGTGAGACGCACCAGGGAGAAAACGGAGCTGGAAAAGAGGAGATGGCCTAGAACGAAACTCTGATCTTTCTCAGATTCAAGTAACAGGCCGGGGTGGAAGTGAGACTGCTATGTCCAAGGAGTTGGAGGGAGGAGAATGAGGCCAGCTCAGAATTTTGCAAGGGGTCAAAGGAGGAGGCAAGAGGAGCAGGGGCCACAGGGAGGCATGGGCTGGCTTTGGGGGTGGGAGGCTCAGCAGCTGTGGTTACTGGGATCTGGTACCAGCCAATGGAGGCACCCAAGGAAGTGCCGAGCGATGGGCTAAGGCTGCCTTGCTGCTCGCTCGTCACCCGGGCCAGCATTTACCTCTCATTTGCAGAACGGGCTCCTTCCAAATAGCAGTGGGACCAGACCGAGGCGAGGGGGGAGCGTGCGTTCTCCCGACACCCATCCATCTCTGCCCGTGGCAAGGCCAAGGGCAGGGCTGCGCTAGACACAGCCCAGCGCTCCAAGCCGTGTGCCTGGGACCCCGGGGCAGGAAGAGCGATGGGGAGGGGAGGATGACCGGGTCCATTCACGCAGGGCTGACACTAGGGTCACGGCAGGACATCAGCATCAGAGACACGGGGCCGGATCTGAAGTCCGGGACCTGACAGAGGAGAGGAGGCTGGATGGAGGAGGAGAGCTGGCCCTGCCCCGCCCAGAGGGAAGCAGCCGGTCAGCCCACGGTGCTGGGATCTTCCGCAGAGCCACCCAAGAGTACCTGTGATGGCCACGAAGTTTGCTGTCCCTGTGTGCGCCACGCCCTTTACCTGCCGCATATTCAGACCTCATGACTACGTGCGTTTTTTGCATGTAGATGGTAGACCTGGAAACAGCGCCCACTCCTGGTGGTGAAGACGAAAACTCCTGCCTAGACTTAAGACCTCAGCTTCTCATGCCCTCCAAAACGTGCAGTAGCGGTCACGTCCACCAGTGTCACTGCCCGCGGCTGATCCAAGGGCCACATCGAAGCTCTTGTCCTCAAGTGGCTCCCAGCTTAACTGGGGACATCGCCTTTCGAACGCCAGCACGGCTGCAGGGTGTGCACGGCCGCCCCAACATCCCCCTTGCTGCTCCCACTTCTCGATCCAGAGCCCTGAGCTGGGCCAGTCACGTGCGCGGCACCTTCGGGTGGTGCAGTGGACACAGGGAGGCCCCACTGATGGCCCTGAGAGTGGCCGACTTGGAGAAGAGGAGCAGATGCAGGACAGAATCTAGGTCGTGTCAGCATGTGGGGGACAGGCGGGGGCAAAGTGGACCACCAGTGGACAGTGGAGGAATGGGGGGGTGGAGGGAGATAGAAGGAAGGGGCTGTTCCCCAGGGCTCCAAGTCCCACCCTGATGGCCTCATTTAGCCCTGAGTTGGATGACGTCATTCTTCCTTCAGTCTCCCACCCCTCTCCTGGCTGCTAACAACCCATCCCTCTCCTCTCTTGCCTCAGGGACTCACTTACTGATTCCCTTTGCCTCCGGCCCCAAATTCAGCCCAGTTTACTCTTCTGTGTCCTGCTAAGACCCCGTCCTCTTCTCTCCCGCTCCACTTCTGCCTCCGTCCTGCTGCTGGGTGGAGCCAGTGCAGTTCCTCTGTGGGACCAGCCTGAGGCTCAGATGCCCCCTGCCAACAAAGCGTCGGCTGCCAGAGTCTAAAATGCCAGGTTCCCATCAATTCCTTTAGCTAAGAGTTACTCCCCACTTTGGCTTCCTGTCTTAAACTATTCCTGTGACTGGGAGAGAAACAGATTTTGTCACCGATACACTAAAGCTAGCGCTTTGCTGTGCCTTGAAGAGTTAAATACCTTGGGAGTCTTGGGCAGCTGGTTTAGGGAGCGGGGGGCGGGGGAACAGGCTGCTGCAAACGGTGACCCATCGGGCAATTCTGTCCTGGAGTCACCTGAGCCCTTGGCTTGGGTTTGGGCAAGGAGTCGCTCCCTGTGCATTTGTAGCTCAGCCGTAGGTGCTCCAGCTGTGTTCTCCTGGCCAACCTCAGGATTTATCTGCACACATTTTCCAAATAACTGGGCGGGGAGGAGAAAGGAATGGGGGGAGAGTTAATTTCCTGAAGACACTAATGGGAAGCGGTTCTAGGATGGTGCTCTGTGGTCCCAGTCTCTCGCAGGACTGGAGTCTCCAGTTGTGTCCAGCAGTAACCGATGGATGAATGTCCCTCTTAGGACTCGCTCCTCGGCAGGCTTTTCCCATCCCCTCTTTTTAAAAAACACAACTTGCACGCACTGTCTTGTTTCATCCTTTGTTCCAGGCGGAATACACAGATACCGCAAATGACAGACGCTTCTGTTAAGTCCAGAATATAGCAATGTTGCTTCTAAATTGTAGATGCCTGTGTCAGTCTTCTAGAACTTTACCTTGAGAAAACAGACTGCCTCGTTGAGGCCCAGCAGGGCTGCCACACCGGCATCCCATACGAGAGTGCCCCGCTGGGTCGCAGCTGCTCCACTTCCCATCCAGCTCCCTGCAGATGCGCCTGGGAAAGGCAGTGGGTGCTGAGCCATGTGCTTGGGCTCCTGCCACCCATGTGGGAGACCCGGATGGAATTCCCGGCTCCTGGTTTCAACCTGGCCCACCCCCAGCCATTGTGGCCATCTGGGGAGGGATCCAGCAGATGGAAGCTCACTCGCTCGCTCACTCTCTAACTCTGACTTTCAAATAAATAAATAAAGCTTTAAAGGGGGAGCAGAGGTTAGTAGAAGGTGGTTTGACTTTGGAGGGGCAGGAGTGGGGGGTTGGCACCGCCCCTGGAAAAAGGATTAAGTATGTAGTTCTCAGAGAACCAGAATGGCTCCTGAATAGCACTGGGTTCCTGTCTCCCCAGGTGAGGTCTCCCACTCAGACGCGTGCTCACCCTGATGTGAGGACTTCAAAGGGCACCTAGACGGAGTTCCAGGCTCCTGCCCCAGCCCCTGCAGCCATTTGTGGAGTGAACCGGCAGATGAAGATCTCTCTCTCTCTCTCTCTCTCTCTCTCTCTCTGCAACTCTGCCTTTCAAAAATAAATCAATACATACATTTTATTTTAAATGGGGAGGGAGAGGCGGTCCAGGGAGACTGCATCTAAAGATGAGTTGATTTTGGTGCCAAACCCTTTTGAAACCCATGAACTCTTCAAAAAGTTCATGAAAACGCTTGTTGTGAAAAGACTATGCATGGATGTGGAAAGTCTTTGCCCCAGAATAAACATGCAGTGGCCCAACTGTACAACTGGTCTCCCCATCCAGGCGAGGTTGGCTCAGACGCACGGAGGGGGCCCATAGAGCCCAGGCGGTGCCCGCCATGGCTGCACCAAGCAGAACAGTAAGCCACGTGCGCAAGGTGACTGAGGGGGAAGCTAGGCAGCCCTGTATGGTGCCTGGGGCGGGGTTCCCAGCCAGGCTCAGCCACGCCCCTGCCCACACCCCACACCTGCCTGTAGCCCCAGCATGGTCTATGGTCTGAAGTTCCTGGATCTAGCAGGAAGAGCCCGTTGCCGTGGCAACCATGGGGGCTGCGGGGGCTGCAGGTGCTTTGGCCAGTGCCCTCCACCTGCAGTCCTGGGGCCGGCCTCGCTGGCTGGGCAGCGGGCACTGGAGGAGACTGGTGTCCCGGCTGTTCTTTGGGCTTGGTGGTGGAGGGTTGATTAAGGGTGCAGGGAAAGTGAAGCAGGAGACAGAGAAGGGGGATTGGGGACAAGTCCCTGCGCTCCAGGCCCCCAGGCCGGCCCCCACTTTTCCTCTCAGCATCTTGCAGGCACCTCCAGGGGAATTTTCTGGAATGCAGCATGGCGGCACTGGGGTTGTGAGTTCACCGGCTCCTTACGGGAGGGGTGGGGACTTCGCAGCCAGGCCACTGTGGTTGTCAGGGATGAGTTGTAGGCTCCCCACGCCCAGGGGCATCTCGCGGGGCTCGCTTCCCCGGGACAAACTCCGAGCAGGGCCTCCGCTGGCCTGGACCCCTTCATCTTTGCTCCTGCGGCGCCAGCAGCAGCCGTGCTTGGCTTGAGTCTCCTGGTTCTGGAACCTTCTGTGGTCACCACGCTGCAAGTCCCTGGGGTCCTGCTGGGTCTGGGGCTCTCACCGGCCCATTGCACTGCCCTCCCTGGCCTTCTGCCCTCACCTGGTACCTCCCAAGCCTTCAAGCCTTTGGGCTGTGGGGTTGCAATGAACCTTGGATTTTCCAAGTCTTATTTCCTGCACACCTCCTGCCTCCAACACTTGACGTTTTCCTTCAACTGTGCCATTCTTGGAGGGAGGGAGGGAGGGAGGGAGACCCTCCTCCCTTCCCCTGCATCAGCAGTCCAGGGAGAAGCCAGCTCACCCCCAGGGGCAGGAGCCCAGACAGCGCCGACAGCTGCCCCCTGCGCCCCGGAGAGGAGCGTGCACCCAGCAGCAGGCACCTGCAGAAGACACTTGGGCCGCCCCAGGCGTCGGATTTCACATGCGCCAAATGTAGAAAGCATTAGCTGTTTCCCCCAATAAGCTCACATCTGTAGCTCCATTCTGACGGGGATAAAATTACCCTGGTTATTAATCCTTATGCTCTAGGGTAGAAGCTGATCACCAGCTGGGGTCAGGAAAAAACGCAGCTCCAGCCCCTGGGCGCCGCCTCCCCCCAGCCTCACCTGCCCCGTGTCCCGCAGTGTATGGTTACAACTTCGGTCTCCAGACAGGGCTCAAGGCTGCCAGCTGAGATGCCTTGAGGCTCCAGCCTGCTCTGTGGCGAGCGTGTGGACTGAGCATCTACTTAGGATAAGGCACCACTGGGCTCTCCTGTGAGGACACAAAGACCCTTGTCTTTTTTATGCCAAGAACGGCTGAAACTGGGATGGGTACTTGGCCTAGTGGTTACGATGTGCACATCCATAGTGGAGCCAATTCCAGTTCTGCACCTGACCCCAGCTTCCTGCTGCCAAAGGCTCTGGGAGGCAGCTGGTGATGGCTCAAGTGGTTGGGGTCTTGCCACCCATATGGGAAACCAGGAGGGTGTTCTCAGCTTCTCAACTGGTTGCTATGGGCACTTGGGTGGTAAACTTGTGAAAGGAAGAATCCTCTCTCTCTCTCTCTCTCTCTCTCTCTCTCTCTCTGCCTCTTACTCTCAATAAATGAAATTTTTCAAAAGCAAAGCTAAAGTGACTGAAAAGCTAAATGTGGTTTCAGGGACCCCCTGCTCTGGGTCTATCCGATGGCCAGCTGGGGAATGGACAGTACCTCCGTGCCTGCTGCCAACAAGGAATGGGGCCATTTCCACCAGCCTCGAGCTTCTGAGACCGCTCCCTACCGTGAACCCACGGGCCAGGCCATTCGGGTTCTGTCTCTGAGCCTTTCTCTTTAGGCCTCAGTCTTCAGGCCCTGGGATGTCCAGGGGTCTCAATTGCCCTGAGTGGGACCAAGAGGTGAGAGCGTGTTGAGAGCCAGGGCTGAGTTTTGCTGGACCATCAGGTCTGGAGGCTACAACACAAAACAAGGGACAGCCCTGAGTGTCTGTTTTCCTCAGACCTGGGCTCGCGTGGGCCGGCCACGTGATGTAGCATCCAGACTGGGATTTCTCAGTAATGCCAAGAGGCGCTATTGGTAATGCCGTGGAATTTTCTGGCGCAGGCTGGCTTGTGTTTGTTCCACCTCAGGGGCGTCCCCTCTGGGTTACCACAGTGAGCTCTTTCCTCTTGGCTTCCCCGTTTCTGTGCCCGCAGGAGCACAGCCCACAGTCCCGTCCTGCGGAGAGGTTTCCCCTGGCCTCAGCCCTTACCCTCACCTCAGGTCCTTTGACCTCTGAACTGGAAGCACCTATACGTCTTTGACCTTGGATTATCCCGACTGCATGTTTGTATCACAGTTCTGTCTAGGATATGGGATGATAATAGAGAGTGTCAGCAGTGACGTCGACGGCGTGACCAACTCTGGGTTCACCTGTAATAGTTATACTCCCTGTCCGCAGATGCTTCTCAACATGGCTCAGCCATTGTGTTGTCTTTTTGGGTCACGTGGTGGGTTTCCAAACCTCTAGACGGAATCCTCACCCACCCTTAATTCTCGGTGGAGGCCCTAACTTCACGAAGAGTAACAGCAACAATAATCATCCAAACAGACACAACTCGAGAAGTGAAAACCTCACGCTCCCTAAGCTCTCGTCCATCTCCAGGCTGTGTCCCTCAGTGGATACCTGTTCTTTGGCACGCCCGCTTCTCCAAGGAAAACGTCCCCTCCTTCCACCCCGCCTGTGGGGTCTCCACGGGGGCTGGCACGTGCTTCCATAGGACCCAGCCGCAGCTCAGACACCCTCCGCGGGGCTCAGGGTCAAGCAGTGAGAACATTTCTCTAGAATTTGGGGAGAGGGGCCAACAGGGCCAGAGTGGCTCTCTCCCCCCGTGCCTGAAGCTGACACACTTGGGAGTTGATGGCAGCCTTCCTTCTCGTTCAGCTCCAAGAAGCTGAAGACTTCCAAGGGCCGAGAGAGTGAGTCTGCGAGCAGTACCAAGTCCTACTCGTCGGTACTCATTGGTATTGGTCTCCATCTTCCCCTTTTCAGGCAATGCATTGCAAAACACGAAGGCCACTTCCTGACACGGTGTACCGGTCGACAGCGCCTGGGGTCGGCGGCCGCCCCCTCTTGCTGGAAACTCCCGCTGCCCTGGGTGGTTTTCCCCCTGGTTCTTGCCCAACTGCAGAAGCAATACCAGAAGCAGTCAGGAGCTACAGCGCTAGCTCTTTCCAACCTACCTCTCACCCTGTAAAATCGCAACCGGCCCGTGCCAGCTCTCTGTGCACTGCTCGGTGAGGGCTGACTCATCTAATGAAATCATTGGAGCTAAGGCGTTAATGGGTGACTTATTTCAATATTTTGATAATGGCTCTTAACTCAGTTCAGTGTCTCAAACATAGATTACAGTACAAGGGTTGGGGCGGGGGGAAGATGTCTCTGTAACTCTACCTGTCAAATAAATAAATTAAAAAATTTTTTTTAATTATTTTATTTATGTAAAAGGCAAAGAGAGAGAATCTTCCAGCCCCTGGTTCACTCCTCAAATGACCGCAATGGCTGAGGTTGGATCAGGCGGTAGTCAGGATCCTGAAACTCCAACCAGGTCTCCTGCATGGGTAGCAGGGGCCCAAGCACTCGGGCCATCTTCCTCTGCTTTCCCAGGCGCATTGGCAGGGAGCTGGAAGGGAAGCCGGGCAGCCAGGAACTGTCGCTTTAATATGGGAAGCCAGCGGAGTGCCAAGCAACATCTTAACCCGCTGTGCCACCGCGCCAGCCCCTAATGTTTTCTTCTAAAGCGAGTCTCTTTGTCCCTCAGTCTAGGAGGTACCGACTCAAGGGGTAAGCATCATAGAGATGTGTGCGCTGTCTTTGTAGCTAGCAACACCAAGGAAAGACACAGACATGCAGGACACCAGTTCTGCCTTCACACAAACCCATGAGCTCATTAGGAAGACACGGGAATGCTAAAACGAAATTGGAACTTGTTGTAACAGCATACGACGTCACATAGCGGTCACCGGTGCCTTCTGTGGGACATTGTAGGGACGGTCCCTGGGGGCATTCCAGGCTGGCAGTGCTGCTGGTCTGGAAACTGAGCGGGGCCTTCAGGGAAACTTGGGCCCCACAGAGCCAGAGGAGCCAGAGAAGTAAGAGAGATGGAGATCCCAGGCACAGAGGAACCACAGAACCCCGGGGATCCTGAGTGTGGGGTGGAGGTGGGGCTGGGCTGAATGGGGGTCCCGGAGGGGACACAGTGGAGTGCTTGTTCACCTCCGTCAGACTCGGCAGCAATACCAAAATTGCTAGGAATTTATTATAATCATCTGTGATATGATGATGTGTCCATCAATGATGGAGGCCCCACAGGATGACAATGGAACTGAACAAATTCCTATCACTGGCCGAGGATTCTGTCCCGGTTGCTCCTCTTCCAGGCCAGCTCTCTGCTGTGGCCCGGGAGTGCAGTGGAGGATGGCCCAAGTCCTTGGGCCCTGCACCCGCATGGGAGACCAGGAGAAGCACCTGGCTCCTGGCTTCAGATCAGTGCGGTGCGCCAGCCGCAGTGTGCTGGCCGTGGCGGCCATTGGAGGGTGAACCAATGGCAAAAGGAAGACCTTTTTCTCTGTCTCTCTCACACTGTCCACTCTGCAAAAATAAAAATAAATAAATAAATAAAATTCCTATCACCCAGTGACAGTCACGCTGTAGGACAGCACACTACCCCCATGCGCGTGTGGCGCTGTTAGCATAAACATAGCCACCAAGCTCAATGCACGGTCACGTATTGTATGTAGGACTTGGTAATGGTGGTATATGATTATGTCACTGGCTTCTGTGTTTACTGTCTTAGACTTTTGTTACTTGACAGTGTACTCCATCTACGTATTTAAAAACAGCCTGCCAGGTTGTGCCAGCAGCAGGCACTCACACCTTGCTTTTACTGTGTCGAGTGATTGGCCTGCACCAGCTGGGTCTGTGCAGTCACACTCTAGGACGGTTGCCCACGGATGAAACTGCCTGACATTTGCACTTCCTAGAACGTAGCCCCATCCCTAAGTGGCACGTGCTTGTGTTGGTTGTTAAAAAGAAAGTATCGAGGCAAACATTATGGGACAAACAGAGCGCAGTTAGACTTGCTGACACTCACGTCCTGGTTTTTGGTAGTGTTAGCGTTCCTTATTTGGAGGACAGAGCCGAGACAGCTTAATCGCACTAGTACTCAGGGCCTTGAAAGGCGCTGGGCGGGAGATACAAAGTTGGGCCGTATTTCGGAAAATTTGGATTCCAAGTAAGGCAGCCAGAATTTGCATGGTTTCATAAGCAAAAGACAATGAGTGTCACCTCTCTGGGTCTCTAGAGCAAACTATCTCTGAGGCCACACACCTGCTTTCATAGTGGCCTGTTGCACAGTGGAATTCACAAAACTACACCCATCAGGGCTGGTGGCTGTTGCTGGTGGCTGCCCCTTGGTCCCATGACAACTGTTGGTGTTCTCAGGTGCACAAAGTCTCCTGTAGGACTCAGCTTTTCATCACTAGAACAAATTCCTTGAGACAAGTAGCTGTATAAGGAGAAACGGTTTCTTTAGCTCATGGTTTGGGAAGGTCAAGTCTAAGATCGGGTGGCCTAGTAGTGATGGCTTTCATGCCGGCAGAGTGCCAAGGTGGCACACCGAGAGAACGCGCCTGTGCGGTCTCTTCTAAACCACCCGGATTTAACCACGGGGGCTCTGTCCTAATGACCCAATCCAATGACCCACTCGAAACTCCATAAATGAGTTAAATTTCCCTCTTGGCTCAACACAGGACTCTGGGGACCAGCCCTCTAATACGTGTGCCGCTGGGACACAATCAATGGTCAAACTCACGTCCAAACCTGAGCCCCTTCCTTGCAGACTCGGAAAACAACTGCGGATGGTTATTGCTCCTATTCGCCCGACAGTCTTGAGACAAGTTCAATGTCCTGGACACAGCGTTTTCATCCCTGCCGGTTACTGCTTTGCCATTCATTCATTGGCTCATTCAAGAGGATGCACGCCGAGAGAACGTGCCCCAAGACTGGCATTGGGAGGGAGCTTGCAACAGATGATGGCTAAGAGTTCTTCCAGCCGAAGGCCTCTCCTTGCGTGGCCAGAGAGGAGGGAAGGTCCTGAGCTTCTGTACAGGCAGCCTGCCCCCAAAAAAATCAACTTTCTGGCCTCCCCCCAGAGCTGTTCTTAGAAGGCACGCCTCGCCCTTCTTGTAGCATAGTTCGGCTTCTGCAGGCCTACAGGGGAAAGTGCTCTCATGTTTGATCCGGTCCCTCGACTTCAGTCCATTCCATCCGCCTGGCTCTTCCAGACAACGGCTCTTCTCAGGGTCAAGGTGAGACCACGGCTGAAGCCAGTCTCGGATTTAAATCCACAGGAGGACTTGGTGGCGAGGAGGGGGAGGCATTTACGGAAAAGCCGTTCAGGGTGACAGCGCCCTTCGGGGGCTGAGAAAGAGTAATTACACCCACCGAGCACTGCCGCCGGCCGGGCGGCCTTGCAGCCCCAGCGCGGCCCTGGTGGAAGGTGCACGGCTGCCACGCTCCTGGCAAATTGATGAATGGCCGCGGCACACGCCCCAGGGAGGACGGGAGGGAACTGGCCGCAGATTAATCACCGGTGGCACCGCTGAGTGGAGGGTGGCGAGGGCGGGCGGCAGCCAAGGGGACAGCCGAGCAGAGCTGAGAGTGACCAGGCAGTTCCTAGCCTTGGCCAGGATTCTAACAACTGCTCGTCACTAGGGGAGCTCTGTGTTTCTCTGCCCCCAGCTTACTATGGGGTGTGTGTGTGTGTGCATCTCTGTGTGTGCCTATGTGTGTCTGTGTGTGTTTATGTGTCTGTGTGTGTCCGTCTGTGTGTGCCTGTGTCTCTCTGTGTGTGCCTGTATGTGTGTCTGTATATGTGTTTGTGTTTATTAGTGTGTGTTTCTGTGTATGTGTCTGTGTGCTTGTGTGTATCTGGGTGTCTCTGGGTGTGTGTCTCTTGGCGTCCCTTTAAAAAGATTAGGTTTTCTAGGACCAGCACTGTGGCACAGCAGGTTAAAGTTCTGGTCTGCAACGCCAGCATCCCATATGGGCGCCGGTTCTAGTCCCGGCTGCTCCACTTCCCATCCAGCTCTCTGCTAT